TCATGCTTAATTTCATTTTCCTACGAAACAAAAAACATAGTAGTGGAAATACACATTATAAATAGCATACGTGATGACGAAAGCATCAACCCCCTCCATCGAAATTTTTGGACACAGCTTAGAAAGGTTGTGGAATCGAAGGACGAAAGCAACTGGTTAGACGTAAAAAAACGAAAGGAGAAACGGGCCATTTATTAAGTGTGACAGGCAATTAATACAAAGTGCGACAGCTTGGTTGTTACAAAGTGCGACAAGTTAATACAAAGTGCGACAGGTTATTACAAAATGTGACAACTTTGTTACAAAGTGCAAAGGTATTACAAAGTGCGACGATTATTACAAAGTGCAGCAGCACAACGGGTCTTACAGACACGGTGAGAAAATAAAATTGTGGAGTGGAGTGATTAGAAAAGAACTTGGCTAAACAAAAATCAGTAACGTAAAAAGGGAGATTTCATCATGCAAGGTGGGTGTAGAGGGGATATATATATAAATATTGGTGGAGCGAAATCGGTAGGTAAAGTAAAAGGAAAGGTGCGTGGAATGTCTAACGTATGAATTAAACATTATCTTTATTGCATTTATGTATTGTAAGTACCTCTTGACCAATTCTGTATGGAGGGGTTGATTTGTACGCATCACTGTGCACGTATTCGTTGGGGCAAGGTGAATGGTCTGGCGGTGGTAGCATACAATGTCCTTTCTTCATCGTCATTCCGGAGTCCATTCCACTTTTATATGGATAACATTCATCCGTTACGATTCTAATAAGAATATTTAAAAAAATCATTATTAATTCATTTTATACATAAGCATAACCTGAACTCCTTTCGCGTCGAGCTAATAATCATCATCACTTCATCGTTATTTATCCCTGTTCACATACGTTTTACCAACATTCCTCCACTCGGGCATCGGACTTTAATGGCGGTAATAATGGATCCTTATTGTGTATTTACCAAATTAAATTCTTTACAAGTTAAACTATTTTATTCATGATACAATTTAGAACTAACAAGGCGGAGCTTACCCTTTCTTTCTTAGAAAATACCAAGCACGATCAGTGTATCCTCCATCGCAGCCGCGCTGACGTCTGGTATTACACGATAGCAGGTGCTGGGGTGATAGGATCACTTTCATGTTACCCATTGACTGAATGGCCAGACGATCGGAGGCAACGGCTACAAATAGCAAAATAATATTAATAAGAATCTTCGTTATTGTATAAATGACAAATCCTTTTTTGCAAAACCTAGTAGGAATCAGAGTTCTTACTCAGGACGGTTTCAGAACCGCGAGGGAAGACGCTACAATGTGTTTTATATACAACGGATACTAAGTGCTCACAATGTTACCATGGGAATGGTTGCACAATGCATAATCTTCTCCACTCAAAAAGTGTGGGACAATTTCAGGGTGGAGCTACTTCACGCGTAAATTTAAATAATGTGGACACATTTTACGCAAAAAATTATTAATCTGGACCTATAAATTGACCCATTCTAAGCAAAATATGAGAAAGCTGGACCCATTTTTCTAAAAGTAGACACATTTTGTGCATAAAACAGCATAACTTAGACTTATATTTAAAATGCGGACCCATATTTTGTGGACCCAAAGAAAAATTGTGTGGGACTGTCCCAACTGCTGTCTACAACACTGCCTCCACTCCGCTTTGAGTAGGAACAGTATTCCTAGTAATGTATTAATGGAAATGTAGCAGACATTAAATCGTTAACTAGTTCAAAACTGGCCTCATTGTTATAACGATTTGCTTTCTTCATTGCTCCCAATAGCCAGTCATTTAATGTAGATAATGCGGTTTGCACCAAAAGACACATAGTACGAAATAGAGAAAGTAGGTTTAAAACAGCTGAACCTTAAAATGAGAATTGAACAGTCATCGCTCCCAACACAAGGTTGTGTAATTTTACCATTCTAGGTAGGCATACCTTATTACACGGGGGTTTTTTTTCATTCAATATTTAGGGTAGAAATTACGAGTAGGCCTATTTGTTCTGAAAAATTAATCTTACCTGCA